AAATTACTCGTAACCGACTAACGATAGTAACGTAAAGATGTATGTAAGTTTTCTTATAAATTTTTTTTATAGAAGATCAATCTTTTATCTTTTATCGATAAAGAATTGAATATATATTGTCATGACTCGATCTATATTTTTAACTAATAATGGATGAGTATTCGAGACAGAACTAGAAAAGTCACTCGACAAAGAACAAAAGACAACCGCTATTCATATGAATCATAATTCAACTATGAATTATATTGACCAGCAATCGATTTTTTTTTCTCTTCCAATACAGATAGGCACACATCTATATATACATATATATACACAAGAATCCGTCATCTGGTCTCATTGTCAGGTAACCAAGCTGATGTATAGATGAAACTTTATAATAAGAACGAGAAGCAGTCAAATATCTTTATGTTACATACATAGTGATCTCTCATTTTCTTATATATGTATACTGAAGATGACCGTTTGATATGCATGTATGTAAGTATGCAAACGCTCTCTCGTCCATGCTTACATCATCATATTGCTTCGCAATGAATGGTAGTGTTCTGTTGTCATTATCGTCGCCTTTCGGGGACATGCTTCTTCGTCTTCGTCTCTCCCCTTAGATATATCTATATTCAAAAAGAGTTTGCACATATATATCGTGACAAAATGTGATTGATCTCTACGTGCATACAAACATTTAACATAAAGTGTATATATTTGTACAATATATGTTGATATATATATATATATATACGTATATATAAATATATGCACAATACAATACAACAGCGAAACAGTCTTTTTTTCTCGTATTTGTTGATAGTATAGTACATGTTCCTTGCACTATTGATACTGATTGATAATCATATTCTTTTCTGCCTTAAGTAGCACAATAAATGACACATTTCTATATTGTCCATTAGATTTTACAATTCAGTGTATATTTTTTATGTGAAATCGTGCGTATTCTCTTGATTTCTTCTTTTTTTTCGTACATTGAAAGTCAAGTAAGAAGAGTAATTTAATCACTTTGTTTCTTTTTCTTTCTTTTTCTTACTTTTTTTTTTCTTCAGGGACATTATATGAACAAAAGAAAAAGTAAAAGTACTCGAATTAAAACAACATAGATTTCTTAATCATTAATCCTCTCGTAAATTCTATGAAAGTTCATTGTCGTGTATATCAATTCATTCGGACGCTCAAGGTTCTATCTATCAAAATGTCAATCCTCATCTATCTCAGTGGTAACTCATCGTATACATGCATATGTAGACGGCGAGACAAATCTCTTCCTTCCATTGCTTTTTTTTTTATTTCTTTTTCATCTTCTTGTTTCTATTATATTGTTATTGTTATTACTCTTGCTGCTGAGTCTATTTCGAAGTATGATCTATTGTCTCATTCACATGAAAGCTCAAAAGGTTAACTGAAATGTGGCTTCATGTGATGGCAATAATTGTTCATTATTATTCTTCTCACTTTCTCTTTCTTTTCTTTCAATCGATTATGTGATTAATGATAGTTTCTACGATTCGTGACCTTTTCTTTTTTTTTAAATGTCCAAATTGTTATTGACAAATTTTTATAAATATCTACTATGATATATTGATAAAGTCTGTTAGCACTTCTTTTATGATTATTAATTTGTGGAATAATATCGACCAACGACAAAAAAAGAATCTTTCGTTTCTTTTATCAACCTTGAATGAAGGTTGTTGCCTGTCGTTCTATTCATTTTATATACATTTTCTTTTTCTTTTTCTCATTCCTTTGCATATTTCATTTTTTCTTCATAGGAAAATTTAGTTACATAGACAACTGTTGCGTCATATTAATGACCATTCAGTAACATTCAGATCAATTCATCAATCGATCTTGTTTGATCATCACACGCATTTGCACCCACTGTGTAGTTTTGTTGCTGCTAGTAATGATGACATCATCGTCATTATTATGATCATCTTCTATGTTTCTTTTTCTGTTTTCTTGCTCATTATCAATATTAATACCAGAGAAATTTATGTTTATATTTGACCAATATTTTATTCTTTATTCTATATTATATTTTAGGTTATGTTATGTCGACTGTTTGCTGTTTAACTATACCATCAAATAATTATTCATTGCTATCACCTTCATCACTATCGAATTCAATTGACAGAAGAGAAGAGCAACAGAAACGAGTCGAAACAGAGGAAGAAAATTACAGTATCATTTTGAACCAACACTTACCATCAATGACATATTCAAATAATTTACCAATATCTACACGATTTTTACAGCAGCAACAACAACAACCATTGCTTCTTGTTACTGAAGAAGCAGAAATATTAGATATTGATAATCAAAATGATAATGATAAACTTCTTCTTCCTCGTTCAACACGTTCACTTAAACGACGTACAACGTTATTTGAAAAGAGTCGAGACTGGGTAATACTTTTTTTTTGTTTGTAAAATTTTGTTTCTTTTTCTAAAATAATATTTCTGTTATTTTTTTTTTTGTTAGGCACGACGTCTTATAACTCTTCATAGAGCTCGTCGTAATGCAATATCAAATGAAAAGATTCGTGAAACATGTTATGAATCAAATATAAAACATTCAATAAGAAAAAATTCTTATCATGAATCATTATATAATTATCCGAAAAATTTTGATGAAGATGGTTATTTATCTCCAATGGAAATTCAAGCTAAAGTAAAAAAAAGCATTTTTTTTAGAAATATAATTATTTCATAAATAGAGAATATTCTTTTTAGCTTGATAATATTTCTCAACAGAATCATTCATCTTGTTCAAAATCATCAAATAATTCTTCTGATCAACAATTAATTGTTTATTCTCATAGTGGTTCAGATTTAGCACAATCTATTTATCGTTGTCATGGTCCAGTTATTCAATCATCTACCTCACCATGTACATGTCAACAACAACAACGATTACCATCGTCATCTTTTGTATCAGAATTTCATAAATCTCTTTCAATTGTTGATTATATAGATTTTGATGTATCTGAAACATCAACATCATCAAAACAAGATGATGATGATAATGATCCAGTTGAGTATTTAAAATATTTATTTAATGAAAATAATAAAAAAGAACAAGAACAACATGGAAATTTTATTCGTCGTACACCACGTCGTTCAACGAATACATCATCAATATCAGCTGATTCAGGTTATTACGATATATCAATACCATCATCAAAATTAATACCTGTACATTTAATATCATGTACATTAATACCGGTGAATGTTACAAGAACAAAATCAATGGATATACATTGTTTAGCATGTACATGTCCATCATCAACATATTTTTCCAATAAAACTGAACGACGACGACGACGAAAATCTTCTACATATTCATCACATTCACATCCACATCGAACTTATTCTCGACAACATATGGATATACTTGAGAATGAGATTAGTAATCATTGTACATGTAATAATAAGTATTATTCTACAATGACAATATTTCCAACATTATCTGTATCTTCACCTATGGGAACTATATCTACAACAAAGATAGATGTTAATAATAAGGATGATTATTATAATAAACAACAACAACAAAAAAGACATTTGAAAAAAAAACGCACAAGTCTTTTAAAGTTTGTTTATTTATATACAAAGTAATAGATTTTAAATAAAAAATTCTTTTTTTTTCTTTGTCTTTAGACTTCCAACACTAAATGATGATTTAACATCTGTATCACGTTGGTATAAACCAAATCTTGAAAGGTAAAATCAAAAAAAAAAAACAAAGCAAATAATTAAGATTATTATTCTTATTTGTTTTTTTTTTGTTTTGTAGAGATGCTGTATGTCAAGCTTTACAATCAGCTGATTATGGTGCATTTATTCTACGTAATAGTACAACACATCTTGATTGTTATGCTCTTTCAGTTAAAGTACCAAAATTTACACATGAATCAAATATAGCTCATTATCTTATTGAAAGAATTGTTCATAATGATTCTATTGGTTATCGTATTAAAGGAACAATGAAACAATTTCCAACACTTCTTTCATTATTAACTCATCATTCAGTTATGCCAGAAATTTTACCTATAACACTTAATCTTAATGAAATACTTTCTATTTAATAGTCATAGTTTATATATACATATATAGTTATGCGTAGAAACAGTGAATTGAATATGTGTATGCTGTCATTTTTTTTTTGTTGTGTTTTTGATACATTGACAAATTTTCTGCTGTATCTATTTGTGCTTTTGAAAAACAAAGAAAACAATTATTTATCTTGCTATAATTTGAAATATTTTTGCATCGATAAACTCTATAACTAGGTAATTCTATATATCAAAAAAAGTTCTTGTTTTTTTTTTCTACTATACGATATGAATATAATTAAAATAGACATTGTATTAAATGAAAACAAAGATGTAAGATAATCTAAATTCATTTTGTAAATAAATTGATTATATCAATGATAAAATGATGTTTTGAAAGGTTATTCTTAGATTCTTTTCAAATTACATAAAGAAATCTCTAGTACAATCGAAGGTTTTTTTTTTTATTAGATTATCTTGATCTTTGGATAATTGTGTGAGATTTATAGATTTTTAAATACGATGAAACAATAAATAAACATATGTGCAGAGAATTTTTTCGGGAGTAGGTAAGCCAAGCCACTTTTGAAATAGAGCCAAGTCATTTTTGCCATCTTTTTTTATTTTCTTCTTATTTTTATAAAGAATGGTAACAACAAATTTTTCATATCGTGATATCTTGTTCGTAGTTTTTATGCACAAAAAACACAATAAGAGCTGTTCTATATAAAATAAAATGACGCAACAACTATAACCTTATCAGTAAAATAAAGGTAGCAAAATCAACTCTTATATTTTACACAGTTCCACAAGACAATAAAACATTAGTTTTTATAAACAAAAAAAAAACTTAAACTTAAAGTTGTTTTACAAGCAAAATATATTTATTAACATTTAAATAAATGCTTTATGACGTTTTAAAGATGTTAAAATGCAATTATTAACTTGTAAAAACTTTGAATGATGCAATCTCATAAAAAGATCATTTTGAAAAAACACATGTTCAATAGGTGGGACATGTAGTAAGAGTACACATGATTTTTCTAGCAAGTTTATTAAGAGATTGATATGATTTAAATATCATTGATTAAATTATTCTGAAATTGATTTCAATGTTGACTTATCAACTTTTGTTTTTTCGACGAATGACTCGTGTCTGAATTACGACTTGGACTCACTCATCCCTGAATGTCTCTTGATGTAGGTGTAGTTTTGATAAGAAGCGAAAAGAAAAACAACCCCATGTGAAATAGCTCATGACTTTTATTATCATTAAATCATATGAATATTTTTTTTTTGTCATGAAAAGAATATATCTGATACCGGATGATACAACTGCTTTTCTCATGTCTGAATGAATGTTCGACATATCAAAATGGACATTTTTTTAAATATAGAATAAATAACTCACTTTTAATTGATTTTAAAATAAAACTCGAATCTATATCGATCTATTCATAGATAATAAAATATAATTTGTAAACTTTTCTTCGAGTATGCTCTTCAGAAAATGATTAATTTTAAACATTAATATCACACTTATGTTCAGAAAATATAGTTAATATACGATTGATTAAAGGAATCTCTTGATATTTATTAATCATTCTTGTGTTTAAACTTTGTTTGTAAAAATGTCATCTTCTGACAATTAACTCCATAATCGTCTGACAGCTAGAGGCATGTTTAATCTCGATCTCACCTATCTCTAATCATAGCTCTTTTCCATCTTCTAAACAGATTTTTTTTCTCTCTGCTTATCTTTCTTATGATAGATATTCTTCAGAAATAGTGTCTTGTCATCTTGTTAAATGATTATATTTTAGACTAAATGTTGTATCATCCATTGATGTTTAACTTAAATTTTACTTTGTGTTATGTGAATAATTACATATAAAAAAGTACATATTTCTTCAATCTGTCATTTAAAATTCGGAAAGCCTTACATTCGAAAAAAAAAATACATAAAAAGATTTTTGATTATTCACAGAACTTTAAAAAAAAACAAAAATACAATAGAGAGAGATTATCTTATAATACAATACATTAACATTTTATCAAATAAAATGAAAAATTCTACATATTATCATGCTATAGTTGCCAAACGAAAGTCTGCCTCTTGATCTTCATTTACAATTGTTATACTCTCACAACCATCATTAGATGAATCATATTCAGAATCACGTCTTAAACCTGTACGTTCAATACAACGTGGATTTGTATTTCTCATTCGTTTTAATGATGTCCATTTTTCTAAAACGCGTTGACGTCGATGAATACCAATAGCTGTAAGAAGTACTATAACTATAACTATACATGACAATGGTATTGCATAAGATAAAATACGTGTCATATCATTAATATCATCATACGATTGAGTTGTTCTAGTATACTGTGATTCATATATTGTCGATGTTGTCAAATTTTGAATATTTTTGTATAATTTATTATTGTTATTCATCTTTATAATTACAAAACAACAAAAGAAAAGATTTAAATACTAAAAAAAAAAAAAAAACTTCAGTTATATTATATTGACTTAGATAACTTCTTTTTATCTTGGGTCAGTTGTTTATCTTTTTCCTTCTTGTTTTGAAATGATGACAATATGGTTGCAATATCGTGTAAGATTTGCTTACATATAAAGGTTCTTTTGTATTTTTATTCGTGTTGTCATGATGTTACAAGCATTTTTCTTTTTGTATTTTTAGTATTCAAATTTAGATGATGTAAACAAAAAAAAAATATTCAATTGCCTAAGCAAAAAACAAATATCGACAGAATTAGTTTGAAAATTATCGTAGATTTTATTTTATTTTTTTTTATCATTTATTTATCAAATTGACGTCATACGGTCTCATCATATCCTGACACCATGTTAAAAAGATTATGTAATGATAGTGGGACAAATAGTTTGCTCTGGAATCGAGGTAAATTATACTACTGTCAAAGGTTAAAAAGGTGTTGATACTGAATTGTGTTTATTGTCAGAGTTTATATGCCTAGAAAATATTACCAAGAACAAAATTTGTCATTATTTTTCTTTGATAAAAATTTCATCTCACTGAACCCAGCGACCCAGCAAGATGAGATCAGAATAGGAGAGAGTATTTTCGAAAATCAGAAAAACATTTTATCTGATGTATTAATATTTCGAGATAGTCGTAATTGGATGAATGTACTGTAAATCTTTTCTGCAGTGAGATTTATGCTAAAATATCGTTGCTTTCGATCGATTTGTACATAACAGTTAAACTCTAAGAAAAATTTCTAAGTTTATACAAAAGTCAAAACCATTTACTGTCTAATAAACATTAGTTTAGAATTCCATCATGTCTTATGGATCTTTCTAGCACAAAATATTTGAGTATTTAGGTCAAAAATGTTTCTCAATCATTTTCGATGTTGAAAATGGTCACGTTTGCAATAACTGTCAACAAATGTAATGAATATCGAATTTCATGAGAAATTCAACCTTGTACTATATTTTCAAAACATAGACACGTTTATTTGGCTTCCGAAGGTGACACTAATTTTTTTTTAATATTTGAAGGTTTGCGCTATCGGATAATTCACGTAGGTATTCCTGTCTTGATGACGAAATTTTCAAAATTTTTTCAAGATTATTTATTATTGACGAAATTAATAAAGTTGATGTAGTTATTTGAGAATTTGCAATGAATGAGTTTGAATTCTGTTATCTGAAAAAATCTAGACACATTAAAAACACGTTCGAATTATCGTAGAGAGTAATGAAGTTTTTCGATAATAATTTCAATCACTATAAAATAGTCCTAGCACATACAGTCTTCACAATATCGGTGAAAAGTGTAAGTCTAAATCTTCGAAAATGAAAGAAAGATGCAATCGGAATTCCCTCAAAATCAAGGAGAATTGATTAAAAATTTTCTCCAAAATTATACAAAGCTTCAATCAAACTTTGAAAACCAAGAGGGAGTACTGCACCACCTATTCGCGCTACCACTCAATGAATCCAAGTTTGTGTGAAACATGATCGTAAAGAAGTGTTAAAGTATAGAAGTGAAAATTTGAATCCTACCACCACAAGTCGTGACGGACGTTGATATACGATTACAAACCATATATCAATTACGTCTCATTATACTATATGAACTGCATTCTTATTGCATTTCTAGAGGATTAAATAAAAGGATGATGAAGAAATATATCCGAAAAGAGATACAATAAAGTAATCTCTCCGTGATTAGCAATAGCAACAACATCATGTTTCACATTTTAATCTCGCTGAGGTTGCGCGAACAACTTTATAATCATGCACATAATCAAAAAACAAAAGTGAAATCATTAAAATCAAAAGAATTTGTTATTAAAATAATTACATTTCTTGTCTGTAATTCTTTTCTAATTGATAATAAAGAGAATTTAATTTTCATTTAAAATTCAAAAGAATAGCATTATCATTATCAAGACAAAATATATACCTTTATTCATAAGAATACTATTATTTATCATTAGTTATGAGCTAGATTACACAAAAAAAAATTTACTACAGATCAAATTTCTTCATTTTTTTTTTTATTCAAGTGCAATACTCTTCAATCTTCTTGTTAACGACATGTGTGTAATAAATTTTTATTCTAAAGAACATTCAATGAGATTTTAAATCGATTAAAAAAAACATCGATCACATAATACATTATATGAAATTGATATCAAATTATAAAAAAAAAATAGCAACTTCGTACAAAAACATAATTTTTGTTTATACTAATCTTCAATGAAGAAAATGATCCCATACGCTTTAAATAAATTAAGAAAAAACCACGTCAATCTATGGATATATTTGCATATATATTTATTAAATACAGATTAAAAATATGTGAAAGCATCTTTTTCTTTTCAGAAATTGAATTATTTGTTTTTTTTTTTCTCAACATTGTAAAAAATTTTCTTTAATTAAAATAAAAATATAGTTCAATAATATTAGTTTTTTTTTCTTTTGTTATTATAAACATGTAATTATTTGAATCATATCACATTATGATAAAGAAAAAAGTGCACAAAGTAAATCGATGATTTACACATTTAATACCTTGGTGTCTTTTCTTTTCATTGACAAAAGTTTCAATTTTCTTTTTCTCTTACCTCTATTATTATCGTTCTTCGTACCTCAGTACGTTTTAACATTTCTTTTTTTTTTTGCTATCGCTCTTTTTTTTTCTTCTTTTCTACACGTGTCAAAGGAAAAAAAACTTAGGAAGGAATATATGGAGTCTTGTCGTTGTCGACAGCGCCATTTCATCCAAAATAAAGTTATACAACAAGAAAAAGAATAACATGATCAATTTCGTTGACCTTTTAGGTCTCATCCATGGTCGATAGTATGTATGTTCACTTTTTTTTCGGACAGATAGTATGGAACGAATAGAAAATGATGGTAAATTTCATTTAATTATTTCTGTTTGATCTCTGGTCTTTTTGCGTAACATGTGTATAGTATTTTTTTTTTATGAGTGAAAAGGTGAATCATATTGTGTCTCAAAATGTGTATGTGAAGAATTTCACTACTCGATTTTATTCTACCTGATTACACCGGTATGAGTAAGTTTTTTGCGCTTTTTTTTTCCTCGCCTATCGTTGCTTTTTTTTGTATAAATGTTCTGAAATTAGATGGTCGATCATATAAATTAAATAGAAAATGCTAAGTAACGGTCAGTCTTTTTTTTTTTATAGATACGACATTTACAATGTGTTGATTTACTTCAATTAAATAAATAGTTGAGAAAAGCTCGATTGTCTATAATTGAAAATGGATCAACGGTATATTGTATGACGATATTATTTACCTTGATCAATCGTGTCGTATCTTTTGATTTATTATTGTAGATTTCCGGTAGAGATTTCCTTTATCATCATTTTTATGTGAATAAAATTGTTTCTGTCTCAAAAGTTAAAAGTGAAACGATAATATAAAGTTTATGTATAGAGAAATTATTCTATTATAATATTAATTTATTTCAATATGTATTCTATCAAGAAAAGAATTAACATTTGTCTTAACTATTGGTAGATGTCATTGATTTTAATTGCAAAGAGGTTATGATTTGATTGATCTATTTCATCGATCATCAAATATATTTCTTATTTGAATAATTTAAAATTAAAAAAGAAAACATTTCTATGCAGATGTATTTTCTTTTTCATCCTTTTACAAATATCAACATTGATGAATCTGAAATTTATTGGTTACATGATTAGTGATTGATTTGTTTGTTAACATCATTATACATTTCAAGAAAAAAAACAAAAAAAAAGAAGCAACGACCATGTCTATGTATATATCGTGTCCCAATGTGTCGTCATTCAATGACAAGATCATTCGAAGAAAATGTTATTTTTCTTTTGTCTTTTCATCATTATGAGTGACACATTTTACAAATAGCTTCTACGCTTTTCTTGTTTAATACATTGTGCAAATGTTCATCACATGGCTCATTGGACATTCTGAAGGACAAAAAATACATGTGCACGTTTGCATTGAGAAAAGAGAAAAAAACATGCATTATTCTTTAAAAAAAAAAAAGCTTTTGTAGTATGTACGTGTAGAGATATAGGTAGGGTGACATTCACATCATTGGTGACCCTCGACCACTCTCTACAACAAAAGAATGAAGAGAAAATATGAACTCTATGTGTACATGTCGCCAACAAAAAAAAAAAGTAGGAGTGTTTTTGTTCATTGAACGATACGAGACAGAAAGAGAGAAAAAGGTACAGATGTGTACATAATGTTTGTTCATCAAGATGAGAATGAGCAAATGAGAAAAGGAAAAAAAAGGAAACAGCAGCAAAAAAAACAGTAGTAGGCTAAGAGTTCATCATCATCATTAGTCTTCTTTTCTTTTGGTGCGTGTATATATGTGATTGCTCAATCTTATTTATAATATGTCTATTGCAGATGGGTACTATCGACTCTTGGTCATCGATTGAGGCAATTATAAAACAACGTTTGGAAATGAATGAAATTGATCGACGTTATTGTGCCGTATGTGGTCGACAAGGTCCATCATTGTCACGTTGTTTCGGTTGTCAGATGGTTTATTATTGTGGTGAAGAACATCAAATTGAAGATTGGTCTAAAGAACATGCTCAAAAATGTACACAATTAGAATGGGTTGCATTAGGAGAATTCGTTCAAGCTTTACCAGCTCAACCACCATTACCAAATATTGGTGATAAATGGTCATTATCATTAAAAGAAATTAATAATTGGAAGAGTTGGTTTTCTATACGAACAAATATTGTTAATTTAGCTAATAATACAGCAAATGTTTTGAAAAATCTTATACATTTAACCGATAAACGACAACCCACTCATCAAAGTAAATCATTGTAGTTTTTTATTTTTAAATTAACAATAGGTGTTAATTGATTTTTTTGTGTTTGGTCACACTTCTATATATCTGTATTATAGATTAG